CCCTCATGAAGGAATTCCTCGTCGATGTCTTCGTTTAATCGTTTAACCCGACGCTCGTTAGTCGAAAGCACGTCCGCGCAACGTCATGAACTCGTCAACAATTCGACGCGTTTGCGGCGCCATCGTCAATTATCACTCACTACAAGATGGAGCGACGCCAGTTTTCCTTTCTTTTTTTTTTTCTTTCTTTCTTTACAGCAAATATCTCTCGGTTTTTGTTTTTTTCACAACCAATATCTTAATACCAAATATATTCTTCTTAAATCCTACCTATCCACATCATAATTATATGTTCAACATGCAATATAAATAAGAGCTCGTAAAGGAACTTATACATTTGAACATTATACAATGCTTTCTCAATGAATCAATACATATATTATAATATATACGAATTATGTAAAACTCACAAACATGTACAACTTTCAGCACAAAGAAAGAAACAGCATATACTTTATACCTTTTATTTGGATTAACATTACGTCATACTCGAGAATCTGGATGACAATACGTGTCGAAACTTAAACTATAACAATCTGAATAAACTCGTGATTATTACAGGAATCCCATTCTTCATTCTGTGGAGCAAAGATGACAATTGCTGTCAGTGACCCGCCAGCTAAAGGTACAGCGTAGTATCTAATAACCCGAGTTAGACTCTCGCCCTCAAGCCAACCAAACAAATATAATCGCATACAATTACAATACGAATTATTAAATATCAACTCTTATACTCTAACGATAGAATGATCATAATAAGAGTTTGGCAAGCGCTAGGGAAATAGTGCCGATCGTACAATGTAGTATATCTCGTGTGTGTATCTCCTGTGTGCACATTATACATTCCTCTGTGTGTGTACTCTTTCGTTTTATTTGCGGTACCAGTGATGTGTAGCGACATCCCGACAGCGAGTCGATCGAACGAACGATCTTTCAATCTGTCGACGGATGCATTCTGCGTCCGTAAATGCTTTATAGAGCGGGAAATATTAAGCTTCTAAGATCTGTCTAGAACAATTTCGAAAAAACCGAAGCTCGACAATAGACAAAAAACGTCCTTCGGTATTAACGATAACAATCGATTGAATTCGATTGTGGCAATATATCGGAGGAAGATCGGCAGATCTCTCGTAGATATCGGGTAGAGATTTGAAAAAAGATGTATTTATTGATTCTCCAGATACACGTCGACGTTCTCAATTTATTGCATGCGTCTCCGAGGAGAATCTGACGAGGAAGGAGCGAGGCGGAGAGTTCTCGCTGTTTTTCTCAGATACGTAAAATTTCATCGAAACGGCCGAAGACGACGCGATCTACGTTTTATAATAAGCGCCCTATCCCGTCCCCTTTTTTTGCAAGTCACTTTCGAATAGATTTTTATCAAAAATATATATATATATATATATCTCTATATATATCTGTGTATACATTTGTCTCACACGCCTGTTCCTCTTCTTCCCATTTCTCAACTTTTGGTCTCCACGGCGTCGATCGGCCGCCCAACGCTCGAGTCTTACGTACGGATATTCGAACGATCAAGGAATTCTTGATGGTTCGGATATGGAGTCGTTGGGCCGCCGGTGTCCGCCGTCGGAGTCGATCGTATCGATACTTTGTCCCCCGGCACGTCGTCTACGATCGCACGAAATTTTTCCGAGATTTCGACAATCGTTGCGGGATCGTCCACCGCGTATCCGCGCTTCCTCCTCCTCTCTCTCTCTCTCTCTCTCTCTCTCTCCTCCTCGTTAATTTTCCCCTCGAATAATCGACGCTGACGCGACTATTAAACGGAGATCAGTCTTGAACGATCTGCGTTCTTCTGCTATTATCTCGAATACTCGGCGCGGACTTACGAAACTTGTGGTCCTTCAAAAAACAGCATATATAAAACGTTCTCGATAAAAAACTCCTAGACTGGAAAGATTATGTTTCTCGAGTCTTATCTTCGGCAGTTGCAAGTTACGTTTACGAGGCGATGTACACTTCCATCGATCGACGAACAAAAGACACTTACGGTAAAAAATAAACGTGCGGGATCGAACTTTCAATCATCGATTTCGTAATCGCAAAATTAAGCGGTAAATTCGTTCGATAATTTTCAGGATTCGTCTCCCTCTCGCTTGACCTCGACTTGAGGAGAATTTTGCTTTCACAGGTTCGATCGAGCACAAGTTTTTTTTCCTCGTTTGATGTAAGTTTTTTTTTTTTTTTTTTTTGATAAATTCGTAGATGTCTGGCATTCGGATATCTATCTTGATTGCCGCGGTCGATTAAAGTGCAGAGCCTCGGTATTATTTTCATTTATTGCTCCTAATAGATGTACGTGAATTGCATGTATTGCGTGTTTATATGCATGGAGGTTCACACGGGAAGTTCAATTGGTGCTGTCGAATCTGTGTAATGATGTTACGTGTGATGTATGTGTCGATTATGTGTACATATCTCGTAGATAAAAGGGGAAACAGCTAGAAAGAGATAATTTTTTTTTTTTTAAATAGATTACCGGTATTCCCTCGTCTATCCATAGGCGGGTGCATGCAATAAACACACCGAACTCTAACTACGATACTGATTTTTCGAAGCTTACATTTCTAACTGCCCGTGATTAACTCACGCGGCTCCCGTAATATACGTTCGTTCACGTTTCGTGGTTAAATTACCATGTCACTTAAGACCAGCTCGACAAAGATTCCGTAATACCGCGAGCGATTTTCACTCGCGCGATCATCCTACCGCAAGGGACGACTGTCAACAACGAGATTAGCATCGAGAAAGCGATCGAGTTAACTCTGAAATCGGCATTGAGGTAAAACTTGACGTGCGTATTGATATACGTCGATATGATGAGCGAAACGGAAATTATCTCTCTTTTTTTAATTTATATATTTATTTATAAAAATCTATATACGCCGTGTGTGTCGATGTATGCGGGGAGGAGAAGTTCCGGGGCGTAAATCGACAGCGCGTAAATCGTGAGATTCGACGTGCGTCGTTGCAACGCTTTCAAAGTTATCACGAAAGCCTCGATGAAAATGTTCCTGAGAATTTCAAAGGGGGCGGGGGGGGGTGGGATCAGTGGGGCCGCGCCTTAAGTGCTAATGGCAGTCCGGATTGTTGACACATAGCTACATGCGCGTATATTATATATCATACTTCGCTAATAATGTAACGTACAGTGAACCTAGCGCTAGGTAAGTTTATGCGGTACGTTTATCATATAAACCATTTCATTTAATTTTCATATTCGTTATCGCAATAATTCCTACACCAGGGAAAACATCGTTAAACATTATCTCTCGCCTAATATTATTCTTTTTCTTTTCTCGTCACTCTCTTTCTTTCATTCTCTCGCGCTCAGTAATAATTAATAATCTTCTTTTTCATTTCTAATTTATTATTTCTTTCTCTCTCTTTCGCTCTCTCTCTCGCTCGCTCTCTCTCTCTCTCTCTCTTTCTCGCTTTATGTCTTTCCTCGTTACGCCTTCGTCGTCTAATATTTTATTCAGCGCTCGATATAGTTTATTCATATTAGAAAAATTTGTACTCTTATAGGGGAGGTATCGAGGAATACAGCTGCCTCGCTGTTGTTTTATATTTTCCATGTTTCAAGGGAACATCTTACCCAGCCTCGCATGTGTCACCTTCTAAATCGAGTAACAGCCTCTCGCGATCTAACCGAGTCGTGCAATATCGCGCAGAACGTGCATCGCGTTCGCGCACTTTTTTCCGTCCTTGTAAAATGTCCCAATTCGTGTCAGATGTCAGCCAGGTAACCGAACGAAGCACACGACGTGTCCAATCGCAAGGATAAGACTGATAAAAAAACAAAGTTACGTGGTAAATAAATCGTCAGATTCCTTAATTCCTATTCTCCAGTTCATTCTGATATTTTAAAAATAAGATCCAAGGGTTGTTATCGTATCTAAAGAAATTGCTCAATTTTTCCCTGAATCGCTTTTGGAAATATGAAATGAGATCGACAAAAGACTACACTTTGTCGAAATGATTTTTGGATGCGATAGAAAATGTCGACTTTTTTACCAATTTGCATACATCGCGATTGAACAGCCGCGGACCGCGTCGTCGTTTTTTTTTCTTTTTATATCCTTGATGAAATTGATACGGTCGAACGAAATGGAGAACTCAGTGGTTAACTGGCGAGAAATCGGGTGAAGAGCTCGGTAAGGGATGATCGGAAAACGAAGTAGGATGGGTCAATTTTTCAGGCGATGGTTAAAGATCCTTGCAAACCGCACAATCACACTTCTCTCATTCATGACCGCTAAACTGAGTCACGATTGCAAGTTCACGTAGCCCTGCTTGGGGGGGAGTTCTCCATCTGCCAATCTGTATTCACCATTCAAGCGATAGAAGAATACGCGATGGAAGAACTCTCTTTACGAAGTCGCGACGCGATCCCAGTCGTGACTCCGACTAAGCTACACGAGAATGGGAAATAGCTCCATTAATGCATAAGTATACGCGTGTGTATATATATGTTTACCACGTGCAAACGTACCTACAGATAGGACTTGATACGAACTACGATGTCTAAGGAGGAGTCCCCTTTTCTATTCGCAAAAAGGACTGATTAACCGTGAGCGATTCTAAACCCCCGTCAAATCTCTTCGATCAAACCGTACACCGCTAGTGGTAATATGTAATATGTATTTACCGTTATCGCTATCACGCTATTATATGTACGTGTACACGTATATATATTCATTATGTGCGTATGTATAATATTACCCAAAACCGTCGTTACGACCGCCTTTTGTAGGTTTCTTCCTTCGAAAAAAGCTCCGACCTCGCGCGACCTCAGCTTCAACGTTTCCCTCCCCCTCGTTGCCTTCCTAATTACGGTAAAAATTTCCATAGATGCCACGCCGGCATTCATCCGTCATGAATTCGAAACGCTCTCGTTGCTCAGTGTGATACCGCCAATTATTCCTTTCTCTGATTGTTTCGCCCTCTTTTTTTCTTCGTATTTTTTTTCTCTCTCTCTCTTCTCGACCGAATATCGTAGGAAGGCGAACGAGAGTCATAGGGCAGGGCAGTAAGACATGGAAAGGCTATCGCAATTCACTGTTCCCTTCGTTCCTTTCATCCTTTTTATCGTTCGTAGCCATCTCGCTTCTTTTTTTCCTCTCCGTCCCCTTCGTCTCTTTTTTTTTTCTCTTCTCCTCTCACCGCCCTCGGGAAAAAAAGAAATAGATCTGAACGTCCGCGATGGGAGATAAAAACAGGAAATCGGAAAGAAGTCTGGTGCGCGATGTTCCAGAAGACAGGGACGTTTACGTCGTTCGAAGTCTCGATTGCACGCGGAATGGAAAGAATTCACTCGTTAACCGGGACTCCAATGACGACGAAGTCGACAGCGGTACGGTAAAGAAACGTTAGACTGTCCTTAAGTGTTCACTAGCTGTATATATCCGTCAAACGCGTAGCCAATTACAGTTCGTCACAGTAACGACTTCGAGAAAACACGAACGAATCTTGATTTCCGTGGATGACGTTCGTCGTAAAATGCAACATTTAAGAAAAGCGGATAATCGAATAACGAAATGATAAATAAGAGAGAACCGGCGCGGTTAATTTAATTTAATTTTATCTCTCGTTCTATTTCACGATTATATGAAATTATATTACAAATAAGCCGATCGTAAGCTTTATCATCGACACTTTCTTCAAAGTACAAGCTACAAACTTTTGCTGTTTAGCTTCATGATAATTGACAATTTTGGGAATTATAAGCTTCCTTTGGCTCACATTTTAAAGAATCATGAAAATTTCTGTTGTAATCTCTGTTCGATATGCGATAAAACAAAAAGAAATGAGACACAATGTAATACCGAGTACGTGAACGTAAGAAAGAAAGAAATATAAAATGTCTCGAAGTGCACGCGCAGTCATCAGAAGTCCTCGCTATGCCTTAAACTCTATAAGTTTAATCTCACTACAAATGATATCGGATGTTGATCTCCGATGGAGAGCGGCAATTTTTTTTTTTTTTTTACGCGTCCACTTCACCTCCCTCTCTCTCTCTCTCTCTCTCTCTCTCTCTCTCTTTCTCTTTCGCTTCCTTCCGTAGAAAAACACCAGACCTTTCGTCACCTTTCACCCCTTTCCACAAACTTCCCGTTTGGTTGTCCCGTTTGGTCCGCACTACCAGCATGATTATTCGCTTTTGCATCGCAAAATGCTTGTGTCTACTATGATTTCTTTTTTTTTTTTTTTGGATTGCTTCCATGCCTGCCGTCCGATCGGTTTCTCTCCTCTCGTTTCACTTAATAACTAAGTAATACGGCTAAGTGTCTAAAACTACGCGCGGCCTCCGAACGAGGTCTTGCCGCATCCGCGTCCTCGCTCCGACACGAGGGCGGAACAAAAGTGTGATTATGGAGGAGCATACTCTACATACCTATACGGGATTACTTATCAAGGTTACACCGACGACACACCCTGCAAACGATCACGTTCGAGTGTGTCTCGCGTTCGCGATCGATCGTGCCCGAGCGGATCATCGGGCAGGGACTAGCTTTCTCAGAAGATCGTTTCGATGCGGCACGATCGTAGCGATCTCGTAGCGCTCTATTTTTGTTCAATTTTTATTCAGTTTACGTTTTTCGGTTCTTCATCCCTTGTTTACGGAAAGGTTTATCGATCTCTGTCCGTATCAGAAGGGCTAAGCAGAGGCGAATCTTCGATTACTCCCGAACCCTTCTCGATATCTATACTCGATACTATTACAACGTAGTGCAGCGCGTTTTCGAAATTGCCGACGAATTGCTTGTCTTAAACTAAACTTAACGACGTCTTAATTTTGATAAATACTACCGTGTTAATTTTTCCACACGACCCTTCTTTCCGTCTCTACGCGTGACCGACGTGGCGATCGCTTAAAAAAATAGGGTACAAAAATTATTCATCTAAATTTGTGAGATCTTACCGAATCTAAAAGTCGCTCCTTCGCGTATTTATTAATTTTTTTTTTTTTTATAACACAGCCGAATAAAAATGCCCGAATTACCTCTAAGAAACTTATATCGAGAATCTTAATTTTTAGCGCCTGATCCGCGTTCGCTCGAGGAACGCTACGTTTTTTTTTTAATTTTCATTTTGTAAAAAAGAAGTCTACCCTTAAGATCCACCGTGAACTTAGCCCCCACTAAAAGCGCGACGACTACGAGAGCGTATGTCGATCAATTCGCGCGATCTCTCCTCTCTCTCTCTCTCTCTCTCTCTCTCTCTCTCTCTCGGCCAAATTTCGTTTCGCGGATTCTTTTTTTCTGTTTCCTTTTCCCCTTTATTTTCGCGCGTCCGCTAACTATACTAATTGTAAAGACGCAAATATTACGAAGTTCGCCGCAGTCGGATCGGCATTACTGTCGCGATTGGTGTTGATTTACAGTGACAACGCGGATCTTCCCTTCTTAAAGACGACAAGAAATGTACGTCGCAGTCTTACGCGGGTACCTTACGTACGTATACATCGAAGAACGTACATTCGTTACCGTCGACGTTGTTTTATGTCATCATTTGCCTTGGGAGCGGCATATTTATGAATCGATTGCGCCGCGCGTTTCGCGAAGCGTATATCGGTGGACTAAACGTTAGTTACTCGAAATGGTACCATTCGCGCAAGTCGCACGTAAAAGAGCGTCGACTACGCTAGAAAAATCCAGCATCTTATTCCCGATCGTGGCGATCCATCCCACCTTCGCATGCGGATGATCCGATTTAAGGCCGAGAGCGAAACTTTTCTGCACCGAGTCGAATAACGATCCGTCTACAGGAGAACTTGGAAAGTTGTCACCGGGCTTAATTAAAGACCCATCACGCGTACCTGTTAATTATTAGAGTGCTGGAGGTTCTTCATGATCAAGACGACGGGCGCGAATGGTTCTCCAGCAATGACTACGCTTACAAATACAAATTCGACACGACGCTGTTTACACAGATGACGCTTTATATAAGTCTACTGACTTGGGGATTATACGGGGTGGGCTTAAAGGGGTATACGTATATATGTGTATTTTATGTGTATATATATATATATAAATATATATATACACGCTACAAGTGCGATTAAATGCACGAATAGGGAGTAGCACATCCATACACCATTCAGACATCGGTTAATATCCTAAGGAAATTGGTTGCAAACGGGTACTTTTGGTATAACGGGAGGGAAGGGGGAACCTACGAACTAGCGATTAATTAGCGGGTGTATCCCGTTAAATTCTTAATTACGCGTATTATTCGCGCGTCCTCGCAGCGAGCTTGTGCGCCAAAGACAACGCGTGTACCGCCCACGCGTGATCTTTCGCGGCAAGCTGCGTGAAGAATCCGATGTGAGAAAAAAAAATGAAGATCAAAAAGAAAAGGAAGAGAAAAAAATTCTGTCTCAGAAGTGCGCGACTATCCGTCGTTGATTACGAAGTTGCGATTTCGCAGTGCGCTCGTGCGTGATTTATCGTCGATCTGTTTCCTGAAATCTGTAAAGTTTCGATTGGCTCACGGCTCGCGAGAGAAAGATGGGTAGGGAAAAGAGAGAAGAAAAGGGTCGTGGGAAGGTTGCGAGCGAGAAATTGATTCTCGGGAAATGCGCCAATACGCCGAGCAGTGAACCAATTGTCTTTACACTTCCGTCAAATGTCGCAATCCTGCGTATCGATTTGCTTTTTATTCATGTTTTCGTCCTTCACGAATTTCCATTCTCCCGTCTCCGCGTGTCCTCCACGTTTATTCCGTCAGCGGATAAATGTCAGCGGGATCGTTTTAGGCCAAGCGCCGACATCGCGCGATACCAAAGCGATGAGTTCAGACTCGGATCGCGAATCCTTGACAAATCGGACCGACTAAAACGTCAGCAGTCGATTCAATTGATAGGACAACGCACCTCCGTCGCGAGTTATATTTCTCTCACCTGCTGCATTCTAAATAATTCGTTGGCACGATCATTACGCATATTAACCTTTACAGTACTGTTCCGAGTATATTTCGTATCCGACTCTCCTTTCATGTAAATTTTTCGCAAATTCAATTTATTGAATTATACACTGTATTTTATTATTTTCCAAAATGGAGTTTAAATATTTCTTTTGGAAAGTTAAAAGTATGCCTGTGAACTTTTATATAGAGATTTTTTGAAATGTTTTATTAGGTGAAATAATAGACGGATACGACGACACCTACCTAAACTTGTACCTCGTTTTGTTTCTAATAAGGTTTTTTTTAATTTAAACATATTCTTTAGAGCAAGGAGAGAAATCTCTCTCTTAAACTCATCACGAATAAACTCATTCGCAGACTTAAATAAAATGAAGAAAACACGATTAAACGATTTGGTTGTTTATATTCTATCCTATATTTTGTAAAAGCTGTAATACACAGAATTTTCAATATGGCGAGATTATGTGCAGAAAAAGAAAAGAGTACGAATATAAAAAAGAAATGTTACGTAACGTAAGATACTGAACTCATCGCTACAGTATAAAATAATAATGTCGCAAACGCTATCAATTAAGAGAATCCATCTTCCCCCCCCCCCCATATTCAACTTTACGATATCTTTAAATTGCAGCTCACAGAGAGACACGCAGAGGCGAGATGGCGTTATACGTTAATAACAACATTATGCTCCTATGTACATTTGTACCTTGGCCAACGTAT